GATTTAAGCTCAACCTGAGCTACTAGCACTGATTAAAATTTGATTTGAGTCAATTGAATTTATAATTTTTTATTTATTAAAATTCGATTCAAGCTGATTAATATTTATTTTTTACGTATTAAATTTTGAGTCAACTAAAATTTATATATTTTTAATGTATCGAAATTCAGGCAGATTAAATTCAATACGAGTTGATTAAAATTTGATGCGAGACGATTAAAAATAAATTTTGATCGGGTCGAATTAAATTTTAATTGACTCAAATTTTAATAAATAAAAAATTCTAATTTTTAATTGAATTGAATTTAATACGGAAAAAATAAATTTTAATTAACTTGAATTAAATTTTGATCAACTCAAATTTTAATAAGTAAAAAAAGATAAATTCAATCTACTCAAATCCAATTTTAATCGGCGTGAGGCGCTAGCAGCTCATGTTGAGATCAAATGGGTGCAAATTATAGTACGTAAAAAAAATAATAAACAATTTTTTTTTATTAATTTGGTAAAAGTGAATTTTGTGATTTATCCCAATTTTTTTATAAAAAAAATCGAAATTATTGTCATATTTAAAAAAAATTGAAATTATTATTTGGAATATATCAAGATTATTATTATTTTTTTATCTCCGAAATGTGTGCCATATATCCAAATTGCTTGGGATTTATCGCAAGGTTGCAGTAAACTCTTCTAAAACTTATTTAAAAAGAGTAAGTTTGGGATCAATCACAAATGCCTATCATTGATCACAAGTCACTAGAACTTTTTAAAATTAAATTTTATGAATGTTTGCGATCCGTAACAAAGTTACTATTGTCTCCGCCAAAATGTGGTTTTCTCACCAAAATTTGGCAATGTACAACTAATCTTATTTAAAAAAGGTATATTACCAAATTTTTGAGATCGATCATATGTTTTTGTGATCGATCATAGTACTATATTTTTCTGTGATCTATTCCAATAGATTAGGATCTATCGCAAAAGTTTAGAATATATCTTAAAATGTTAAAAGAATATTTGAGATCGATCCCAACTACTTAATTTTTTATGAAAAAATGTAAGTTTGAGATCGATCACAAATTTCTATGATCTATCACAAGGTTACTGGGGGTGAGATTTAGCAAAACTGTGAGTAATTTATCACAATTAATGATAGATTTATCTCCTTTTAGGGTCAGTTTATAACCATTGTGGATAAATTTATGAGTTTAGAGGTTAATTTATGACTGTTTAGATTAATATTACGTCTATTTTAGTTAATATTACGACAACTCTGGGTAACATTACGAGAATTAAGTGTAAATTTACGACAAAAGAGGTTAAGTTAAAACCATGGTGAATAAATTTACCACAATCGGGAAAGGTTATGACATCAAAGGAAAAATTTATTATAATTTAGGGTTAAATACAATGATTTTGGATAAAATTACTAGTATATAAGACAATTTTACCATTAATTAGTGTAACATTACAACATAAAAAGAAAAATTTATTATAGCTTAGTGTTAATTTAGAATGATTGTGGATAATGTTATTAGTATATAGACTAATTTTACTTTTATTTTTGGTAAATATTATGATAACCGTGAATAGTATTACAAATTTAAAGGTAAATATACGACATCAGTGGAATGCACTAGTGTCATATTTACGACAAATGTGGTTAAATGTGTTAATCATACTTTTATCACTACTAGCAATGCACCGCGTGCGTTGTACGTGAATAATTTTTTTAGAAAAAATTAATAAATAAATATTTGGTATATGTGTACTTGAATTAAATATCATCTCAAATTTACCAAATTTATTTTTTCATCTCTCGTGCTCCACTATATAAATTTTGAAAACATTGTATATTTTTAAGATTTGTTGTTCTAACTTTAAGAAAAATGATAAAAAAAAAAAAGAAAATAAATAATTAAGTTCTATTTGTTTCTATAATTTTTGTAATTGAAAGTTATTTTTTAGTGATGTTTGAAAATTAAATTTTTTAAAATTAATTAGATTAAGGTTCCATTTATAAATTATTGAATAAAATAAAAATAATTACTAGCATACCAATCATATTAGAACTTTTTTTTTATTTAAGATTAGTTAGGTCAATTAAGATAAAATTTCATAAACAATGCTATAATATATATTATAAATCATATTAAATTTTTTAAAAAAATTCAAAATTTTACATAAAATCTTAACACAATTTAAAATTTTTATTGTGACTAAAAAATTATATAAAACTATATATATATTATTTTTGATCTTAAAAATGAAAATGGTTAAACATTGTAATGAAAAATAAAATATACATATATAGTCATAATATTATCTATATCTATACTACTAATAAAAGTATTTTAACATGAAAAACTTTTGATTTATTATTTTATCCTTATAAAGAATTAAAATAGTCACTCTATCTTTCCTCACTTAATATCTAAATTACTTTCATATCCTTATGCATTTAAATCTCTAAACTACATCTAAGATCACTTTTAATTATATATTCTCAATGTATAAATTTCAATCTTTATGAAATTTTTTGATTGATTATGTTACTCCTAAATATGCATCAATATAAGTTTTAACAAAATATTCAAAAAAACCTTCAAAAATCTCATCAATATATAAATGAGGTGAGTAATATTAGTGATCAATCACAAACCTATTTAATATGATTTTGATATTTCAAATGGTGGTTAAAATTTGTCCACTATTGTAGTAATTTTGCCCATTATTATAATAAATTTTTCATTGATATTGTTGTAAATTTACCCACTGTTGTGGTAATTTTGCTTACGATTGTTTTAAATTTTTTTATTAATATTATAAATTTCTCATTAATGTTGTAAAATTTTCACTAATGTTATAATTTTTTCCTTTATTATGATAATTTTATCTATTATTGTCGTAAATTTTTCATTAATATTATAATTTTATCTATAGACGTAAATTTGCCACTAATATTATAATTTTACACTTAATTGAAAGAGTGCCAACTTTTGAGCATGGTACTGAAATATCCTCTTTCGATACCGTAGTCTGCTGCTAACTGATATCACATGAAATGCGTTTAATGTTCCGTGTTGTTGACCGAGGTGGACAAATATGAAAAGGAAATTTATGTTGACTGGACAGGAAAGTGTGGTCTCATCTCGTCTTGCCTTTGAAGCCCCCACCTTCCCCATGTTACATAATGATTTAATGAGAAGTTTCTATGCCCCATTTACTTTTCAACAACCACCATTTGTCCTTATAACAAGTTTTTTATTATTATTATTATTATTTTGTTCAGAGTGTTATGTCAATTTACGTATATTTTGATTAATTTTTTATTTAATTTGATTAAAAATAAATTATTTATGCTAAAATTAAAAAATTGATGAAGAATAAATTCCCCTTATTTTGACTTTTAAAAATATTTTAAAATTTCAATTCAAGATATACGAATTTACGGCTATTTTTATTGAACTACTTCGGTTTTATCCTAACAACTTCACCCATCAGTATTAACCAACCCGGGAGACTCCATCTCTAATAATGTAATAATATTCCTAATTAAACCTTTTTATAATTACATTTTTTTTTATAATTACAGTGACTCACTCCACATTATGCTCTATCGCGAGGAGCAGCCTAGGGTGGTATTGAATGTAAAAATCAATTCCACGAGATCTGAATCTAATTTTAGAATATTTACCAAAAAAAATTGTCCTAAGTATGAAATTGTACCGGTTTTATTTATTTTTCTATAATAATAACCAAAATATCAAAAGCTGGCAAGAAATTATATATCAATTGCGTGGTAATTGGTTTGTCTTGGTTAATTTTTTTTAGTTTGATTTAAAATAAAAATAAATTTTTTATAACCTAATTTTAAAAAATTGGCAAAATTTGAACTTATAATGTTTAGATTTACAATTTATTTGTATTATTAATTGAATTACCCTTTGAAATTAGTGAGAGAACCTAATTAATTTAGTTTGGTCTACAATTCATTTAGGGGATCCGACTAGAGTACCTCAATTTGATTTTTCGGTTCAATATCAAAAAATTAGTGTGAACCGTTGATGATCCTGTGCAACAATAAGAATTATGTTCCGTTTGATTGGCAGGAATGATGAAAAGTAAGAAAGATATATTTTTTATTTTTCAAGGATAGAGAGTAGAAATGATACACTTTCCTTACTTTGATTTTGTTGGATGGATAGAAAATAATAATGACTATTTTGTTTTTAATTTTTTTTTTGGTGCGGACTAAGATTAAGGGTGACAATCGAGTCGTGTCGTATCAGATTTGTGTTGAGTCATAAAATTATGAACATTTTATATTTTTTGTTCGCGTGTCAGGTCATTTTCAAATTCGTCTCATGAAAATCGTGTTGAGTTCAAGTCATGTCATTATGTTGAGTTAAAATTTTTTACCCCTAATTAAGATGAAAAAAATAATTTAAAAATTTAAAAATTTTTTAATTTAAATTTTTTAATTTTTAAAATTTTAAAATTATTTAATATATATATATATATACACACATATTTTATCATTATATTTTTATATGAAATTGATGTACACATAATATATAGTTAAATAAGACACATCTCAACACAAATAATTAACTTTTCATTCACTTTCTTTTCGATTTTGGAGGGATTGATTTTGATGAGTTGGAAAGAAAATTAATCAATTCACTTTTTCATCTTTTCAATTTTCCTTTTTTACTAAATATGATGTTTTATTTTTCTCTCAAATTTTCTATCTTTCAAATTTTTCATCTTTTTATTTTTTCATTATATCAAATGGAGCATTAGTGATCAATTTTTTCTCTTCTTTTTTTAGTTTTTAACGGAGTAATAGGTATTTTTTGAAAAAAATAAAAATAAAAAAAGAGTAACCGGTGACCTATTAAAAATGTGACAAAAAAGAGGGTATACCCTTATTGGTAAAATTATATAGTTTTTGAACACGTTCGTTAATTTGGAACGATATTAATTAGACCACCGAACTCTAACGTGGAGTCCCGATTAATTTAGATATTTTCTCGTCGTCTACCATCACTAATTTTTCACCGTAGTCAGTCACAGCACTCTGGCTCTTCACGCAGTCGAGGTGTGTGTGTGTGTGGTCCGGACGATTGATTGCTACTTCTACTCGATCTGCCTGTAAATGTGTTTGTATCTTCTCTGTGTTGTTTATATATACAGCTCAGCTTGTGACATGTGAAGCGAGTTTCATAATCCATTCTCTATCTCTGAATTGCTCTGTTGATTAGGATTCCACACATTAATCGGCTCCGAGAATGGAAAATTCTCCAAAGAAGGTGTTACTAACCTCCAATGGCGATGAGATTTCTCATAACATTGCCTACCATTTGGCAAAACGTGGTTGCAGGTACATACATGACACATCTCTCTCTCTCTCTCTCTCTCTCTGACATCAGTCTTGTTTTATTTGTGAGATTAGGTTGGTTTTGATGGGAAATGAGAGCCAACTGAGGAGTGTAGCAAAGAAGATTATGGAGTCTCTAAAAGGGGCCGCTGGGATAGATGTGGTAGGATTGGATATGGAAGAGGAGAGAGAGGCGGTCTTCGATGAAGCGGTGGACAAGGCGTGCCGGATTTTGGGCCACTTGGATGCTTTGGTCAATTGCTATTCATACGAAGGTACTATCTGTTTGTTTTGGGGTCCTTATTTGGAATTCATTTATCTTCACTGTGCCGGTCGCATAGATTGGGAGAAGAACTAGTGTTGATTTTTTCTTACACTCACCCCGTTTTTTGGGTTTACAATTGTAAAAAAATTTGGTAAGTGCTCGGAAAGTGTAGATGACTTACTTGATAGTTTGTTGAATGATAATTGGAAAGAAAAGATTGGGAAAACACTCGGAAAACGCTGATGATTTAAGTGATAGTTTCTCTTGAATGATAATGACTGGGCTCTTCATTCTTTTTTATTTTTGTTTTTTTCTTTTTTTGATTTCATTATCTTTCTCCCAATGAGAAAGTATCACAATATCGTGATTCTAGGCAGATATTATGCTTCTAGTTATCTGCTGTACAACCTTTAAACTGTTTGATTAGTTAGTCAACCTTTCTAGTATATTATTTTGTACTGTTTGGCTTCTACTTGTATCTTCAAAGTGTCTCTTAGGCTATTTGGAACATTGAAATTCAACATGGAGGCAGCGAGCAGTAATTTTACTACTGTAATTCCCTGGCACAGCCTATGCTTTGCCATCCAGAATCCTAACACATTTTGAATGTACTGGGCCGTAGCCGAGGTCTAAAGACTGAAAAACTGAGAGAAAAAAGGGAATACTAGTCAACCTTGTTTTCTTTGCCAACAAAAAAGTGTGTTTCTACAGCTGTAACTAGCAACCTGGTTGTAAATTCCTACCTGCCAGATAATTCAGTTTGAATATTATCAAATATCAAGTTGGTCAGGTAACTACCGATCTTGTTTAGTGGCTATGCAGTGATGGATGATTGAGTCCAATTTTCACTTTACATAAACAGTCTTTGATGCTTTGGATAGCTCATAGTGTGAAGAGGTAATTAGATAAATTTTCAACTTTACTATGTAATCTCTCTTAATGGTACTAGAAATAGGGGTAGACCTAAATTAACATTGAACAAAATAATAAGAAAAAATATGAAAATATTAACTTAAATGAGTGTATAGCGCATGATCAAAATGAATGGCGAAGTTGGACTCATGTAGCCGACCCCAAATAATTGGGACATAAGGCTTCGTTTGATTTGGTTATTCACTGCCGATATGAAATATATACAGCTAGTTGGTGATCATTGGGTCAGTTGGTTTTCTCATAGTAAAACATGTAGTGGATGTGGTTCTTAAGAGGCAATTTACATGGTTGGTTCTGTTTAACCAAGGGTTTAACTCTAACTTTGATGTTTTTCCCACAAAGTGATTCCTCATGTTCAAACCTTGTGGTTCTTAGGCCAACTTTTTTTATCACTGCACCATACAATAACCCCCTACTGAAATTAAACAGTAAAAGGACACAGTTTAACCTGTTAAAAATCTTTTGTAAACTAAAGATACACGTTTTCTTTTTTGGTCATAAATTAAGTACTTGGTGGAGGACCTGTTTTGCATATCTAAGATATCTTTGACAGAAATTTGGAAGCTTCCCGAAATATCTTCTCTTTTGTCCATTTTTTCCTTAGGGATTAACCAATGACACTTTAATTGGTTTCATGATTCATCCTTGATGTTATGTACTATAAACATTGTGTTTTTCTCGTATCTTCCTCCATTTCAAAGGTGTTCATTGTTCATTGGAGGTGCAGTATAGTTGGAGTTAAGCACATCTAACGCTGCTGATTCTCTGAAACAGGAAAGATGCAAGACCCCTTGCAGTTGGCTGGAGATGAGTTCAAAAAGATTTTTAAAATAAATTTCACAGCTGCATGGTATTTGATGAAAGCCTCTAGCAGAAAAATGAGGGAACAAAAATCAGGAGGATCCATTATATTTTTGACCTCAATACTTGGTGCTGAGAGAGGGTTATATCAGGGTGCTGCTGCATATGGTTCGTGTTTGGGTGGAATACAGCAGTTAGTTAGGGTAAGTCAACATTAGTTTTCACTTTTCATTCACTTTCATGTCCTGCCCTTGCAATTTTTCCTAAATTCTTTAGCACAGCCATCATCGTTTCCATTAATGCAGCACTTTTTGAACATGTTTTGTAATATGAAAATCTTGGAGCCTTGGGGGATTTGTGCTATGTCTACTATGAAAAGAATGTAGTTTATGTCTTGTCATGTTTTGTACATATATGAGTTATGTTAGTGTTTGATATTGTTGGAATCCTTACTTGATATGTAGTGTTGGTAGTGGGTTTTTAAAGCTGGAACTGGAGTCTCACCTCCAGTCATGTTAGACTAATGTTGAGCTATCTTTGTCCAAGAAACTTGTCTGGAACCTAAGAAGTGAACGAGGAGGATACATTCTTGTCTTTTCCTCTTCTATCGAACAAATTCAAAAGTCAAAACCTTTTGTTAAATTATTTTCCTTAATCCTTTGGAGGCATTTTCTGTTCAGTATCTGAAATGTTTTTTTTTTGCCCTTGAAAATTCACTACTGTTTTTCTGTCAGAAAATCCAAACTTGAGGTCTTTTTTGACCACCAACTACATATTATTGACATCTCTTAGAATTCCTCATTATTTATTCACCCACCCTCTGGAGTTTGCCAGATGTGTCTCATGAAGAGGTAAACCTATGTGATGCCTTGACTTTGAACCACAACGAGTCATAACCGAGGTGATCCCTGCACTGTGACTCGGTCCTAACTTGGACACATGAGAGTTTGTACTATGCGGCCACAGATGAGAACTCTCTGAGGAGTTGGAAAGCCATATAGATTGCATGCCACATAATTTTAACTTGGCATCATTCACCCCTTCATCATCTTCATCAGGACCTTAAACGCTCCCAGGGAATGAACGTCTTGTTAATACAATCTTGCTTATTTGACCTTTTCATCTTTGAGAAACTTTAGCTGCTTTCTTCCAAGGTTGGTCAAATAACTAAAACAACTTTCTCGGTGATTGGTTCTCGTGTTTCTAACAATAAAATTCTGGAACAAAACTGACCAGTACCAACACATGTCAGGCAACACATCTCAAATGCAGAATATAGGTACTTAAAGCCAAAATTTACATGGAAGGAAAGCCATTTATCAACAGGATACAGGAAAAAAGAATCATGTGAGCCAAACTGCAGTATTTTTTTTTTAACCGGGATGGAACTAGTACGGCAAGGGCTGTTTTGGTTGCTTGCACCATGTCAATTGTCAGATATTATGTTCAGCTACTTAGATATTTTTTTATATCTTATGTTAGCTATTAATTTATTTGTTTATTTTCATATCTCTGATCACTATTCCTAGACATCTGCACTGGAGATTGGGAAGCACCAGATAAGGGTTAATGCAATTGCCCGTGGCTTGCATCTTCATGATGAGTTTCCTATGTCGGTAGGGAAGGACAGGGCAGAGAAGTTGGTCAAGGAAGCGGCGCCATTACATAGGTGGCTTGATGTTAAAAATGATCTTGCTTCAACTGTCATCTATTTAGTAAGCGATGACTCACGCTACATGACTGGGACCACCATATTTGTTGATGGTGCCCAGTCTCTGGTAAGGCCTCGAATGCGATCTTATATGTGATCTATTTCAGTTATATATTCAGTTGTTGAAAGAGGACTATTACCTATTTCAATTAAATCATACTTCTAAGACAGAATCAATCCGGATATATTTTTCTTTTTTGAAAATTTCAATAAGTAGGTGATCTATTTTTATCGTATGGTTTGTTGTATCAGGCAGCTATTCAAATTTGCCGACTCTTGAGATGTCTATTAAAAAAAATGTTACATGAAAGAAAATAAATGAATAGATGTTGAAATGATGCAAAGAGCAATGCTAGAGGGACTTAATTTTGGTATCCAATATGAGACTTAATGATATGGTTTTAATTCAATTATTGGATTAGTTGTAAGTTTCAATGTTTAGATGAAGTTTACTACTAATTCAATGGTTGTGCCTCTTTTATGGTTGTAGTATAGTTGTACAACAACCCTCCCCCTCTTTAGAAAAGACTACTTCGTGGCATGAAAGAGAATATGGTCAACGTTGGAATGAAGATCAAGTCTGGTATCTGTGGATTACAGTTGCATTGATCTGGGAATCTAAACTTGGTTGGTCATTTTCTGGTTTGGTGTGCTATTGGTAATTGGTTTAGCGCACATATTTTTAAGGTATATTGCCCTTTAAAGTAGTTCAACTTTGAAAATTTTGAAGTACATTTTCGCGCAACTCTTGTGATGCACATGCACTAGATGAATTTTGACACTAGGTATTTGGTACGTTGAAATTCTAATTGCAACAATTAAATTCTCGGACTTTTGACCGAGTTTTCAGTGTTTACGTCTTGATTGGTTAATTTGATTTCACGGAATGGCCCACGTGATGAAAGTGTGAATTTTCAAGAATGAAAATCTTGTATGTTAGGAATTTTTTATAATACCCATCCACACGTAAAACATATCTTAAAGCTTGAAAGTTGGATAATATGGCCTTTATGCAAGGATTAAATTGATCTCAAATTTTATGAAATATAAGATGCTCATTGAATGACACAAAAACTAATCTTCATTCCTACAAATCCACAAAATCTGGTTCTAATCCTACTTATACTTGTCTCAAGCTATTAAATAGGTAGAAAAGGAGAACAAAGTTCTTTTAAATGATTTTGATAGAAGAACAGTGATTCTTCAATGAAAAATATCCTGGCGAAGGTTTTCTCAACACCTAGTTTCAACCGATATGGTGTTTGAACCAATCAAGGTCCAAACTCTAAAGATCTTATGATTCGTAGGCATAACGATGACTAGGACGGGGCTATATTTGTCGGAAAGTCAGAAAATAAATAAAAGAGGGGAAAGCTTTTATTTTCTCTCCATTTTGTTCGGTTCATGCATGACAACAGAAATAAAGGGTCAAATTTTACAAGGTCGTCGATCTCCTCCTTTACTTATCAACAATTCAATCAATGGTTTGAAATGTTTCTCGTAATTAGCAGGACAAATTACGACAGATATTTTTTGGCTAAATAACATAAATGACTCTTAAACCCATGCAAAAGTCTTTTCATTGTGTATATATATAGTTTGGTCATGCATGAATGAAGCCCGCGTACTTATCCTCCAGCAAAAACGCTAGTTTAATTTGTATTGACTTTTAAACATGTGTGGTGCCAGTAGAATAAAGCTGGGCCGGACTTTGGGTAGAGATAGGCTACTCATAACCCAATTTTTTTGAACAGGATAACAAGACCCGTGGATAACTTAATCCATGGACACCCCTACCCATACAGTTTGATTCAGCAAGAAAGTTTAAATCAAAGGCTCCTGATCACAGGAAATCCTCAGCAATGGATGGCTCAGCATAGTCATCCAGAAAGAAGAAGACTTCTATAAAACTCCAATGGCGGAATATCAATCACACAAGGGGCCACTACAATTAAGGTATCATTTAGGGGCTTAAACTGATGCCTTGATTGGATTCTCTAGTCGAAAGAAGCAATGGCAACAAAAAACGAGAGATATCCCAGTCTCCGGCCTCTTAGAGATTGCTACTGCGTAAAGTCTCGCCTTCTCTCTTAAACTATAGCTGGACAACGCCAATGCAAAGGAGAATAATCTAGAGTGTTAAAAAGTATGCCATTTTTGCCCACACAAGTGCTTGTTTGCTAAGCAAACTTCTTTCTCTAAAGCAAATTATATTTGTACTTGGCGCATTACACAAACAGCATTGCAAGTGCAAAAGAAGTTTTATAAGAAAAAAAACGGAGACTATATTGGAGCAGAAATAAACTGACATTAGTCAAAACTTTATACAGGACCAAACATCCAATCCAAAAGAAAATGGAAGAATGTGCAGTAGTTCTAACATATTAAACTAGCCTTCATGTAGCACACCTAATGATTGTCCTCCTTAGGAGTATCTTTTCCAGGTAGCTCCTTGGGCTCTGTCTTCTTCATTTCCCTAAAAGATGAACAAACAAATTACTTTTCATAGTAAAAAATTATGTCTCCAACAAACAACATACTATTGAGACATGAGTGAAAGATGTAATCAATGCTTGATCAGTTAAGCTACATGGGATAGGAAATGCATTCCGGACTATTATAATGGGTGTAGTGAAGCCACCTTCTAGGCTAAATGTTTCTTCCCCAAATAATCTTTACAAGTCTCGTCGAATTTGAAAGATAACACAACCACCAAAGCACATTCAAAATTTTCATACCCCACCCAGAAATCCCAAAAATTGTAGTAAGTTATAGTACCATGGATGGTCAATCCAATCAAGTTTTGGCTTGAGAGGTCTATTATATATGTGCTAACATGCCCAAACAATTTATTACTGCATCAAGAACTATGCTTAAATGGAGAAACCGATTACCACTGTATGTCTAACTGAAGTTAGTAGTTTCTACTCCCACTGCTTTCCTGCAGGGCAGAGTGTCATTTGCTCCTTCCAACTACAAGCTGGCATTGACTGAATAGGAACGAGGAACAAAATTCTTTCGAACTTGTAGCACAAGGTTTTTTCTTTAATCAATGGAAGTAAATATTCTTTGCGAACATATGAATAGAAATTGTAAGATATAAACGAGAGAAGTATAAGAATTTGAAGAGCACAATGCCATCTTTGCCGAATACAATACCATGAACCCATCTCTAATCATCCTCTAGCCCCCTTTGGCAATCATTAATACCACAGACTCATCCACTCGGATACTATATGGCATCCCAGTTATATCTTTTGACAATGCAATCAAGTCCACAATTCAATTTAGTATCTAAACAGACCCTCCTCCATAGCCTCAAAACTACTGACCTCCAACAATCACCGAAAAATGAAGTTGACTCAACTGTTGGGGAGATTCACACCCACCGTCGTATCCTATGTAATTCAGACTATCAAGTAAATGACATCTCTTTCAATAAATGAATTGCCAAATGCATCTCAAGATACGAACTAATTGGAAATTTCAACAATTCAAAATCAATAAGAAACTGGAAGAAATACATGTACAAGAGTTTGTGCGTGTCTAAGATCTTTATATTTAAAGAAAAAGATGGGGGAGGGAGAGAGAGAAGCGCACTTGGTGGCAGAGGCGGACTCTTCTTCGATCCAATGGCGAATTTGACGAACGTTGCGCCTGAAGATGGTGGCGCTTTGCTTGACATCGCTTCTCATCAGTAGAATCACTGCGCTCACGCCTACCACAGTTAGTATGAAGTTCGTCAATGCCATGTTTTGATATCTCAAACCCTAATTTTTCAATCTTCGCATCGCAATGAATCTTCTGCTACAAACACCTCAGGTCGATTTCAATTGTTAGGGTTTTAGAGGGTTCTTGGAAGAGAAGAAATCTATCAAGGGACACAATTGGAAATTGGAATAATAAATTTGGGCTTCGTTCATTTGTATAGGTTGGGCTTGACTTAGCCCAAAAACAGAGTTATAATTCGAATCAGAAAACCCTGCGTCTGGTCCAACAACCCAAACGATTTATTAAGAGATATTTATTTATTAGTTATTTTCAGTACCTAAAGGGATGAAGTAATGAAAAAAAAATTAATAATAAATATATTTAAATTCACACCCAAAATCAAATTATAAAAACAGAGGAGATAAAAAAAAATTTAAGCACCGATTTTAATGGTGGCGAGCGGTAGTTGTGGTGGGTAGTGGCAATGATGGTGGTGGGAGACGGTAATAATTGTGAAGGGTGATGACGACCAGTTTGTGATGGTGGCAGGCGTGAGTGGAAATAATGATGATAGTGGTGGGGCAGTAGGGGTGGTGGGACAATGATGACAACGACGGTGGCGATGGTAATGGAGATGGTGGCGTTGGGGGCACTGGGGGGTAGTGGTGGGTGGTGGCAACGGTGGTGATGATGATAGTAGGGTGATGGGGGCGGTGGTAATTATGATGGTGGTTTGTGGGGCGGCGGGTGTGGTGGTCGTGGAGAGTGACGATAGTGGTAACGGTGGTTGTGTTGTGGCGATGGTTGTAGTAGTGGTGATGGTGATGGGGGTAGTTATAGTGGTTGGGTGACGATGGTGATGATAGTAATAATGGTGGTGGGGGGTGGTGATGGTGGTGGGGTAGTTCCAAACATTACTTTTTTTTTAAAATACTTATAAAAAATTATAAATTCTAAAAATACTTTTAAAAAATTATCCCAAACACATCCTTAAGGACTTATTTTCTTTATTAAATTTGGGATGTTAATATTAGTCGTCTGATTAATATTAAAATAAAATTTAAATAGATCTTAACTGCGAAAAATAAAAATTATTTTTTTTATTTTTTAAGATTTGAATTATATTATACTTTATTAGATAAATTTATTAAAAAAAGGGCTCAGTACACTAGACAAGTTTATGGGCCGCTACTGCAAGGCCCAACCTTGGACGTTCAAATATAGTCAAGTATACTAACCTGACATGGTCAAGTATATGACGTTCAAATTTCAAGTTGCTCGACGTCATGGAGCAAACTTTAACCTAAACCAAATGTGTAGGGAACAAAGTAAAAAGCACTTTTTGGTCCACCACAAAGATTCTCGCTTTCACACTCTAAAAGCAGTGCAAAGACTTGGACGATTTTAGACCCACTTATGACAGTAAACTCTGGGTTAGTAGTTCCTCCCTAATCACTCGTGAATGTTCTAATTCTAATTTAGATAATTTATTTTTAATTGAACAAAAAAAAAATTAATCGAGGTGCGCGTAAGTTGATTCGGATATCTTTGATTGTTGAAAAAAAAAATACTCCATAGTATTATTATACAATGGATAAAATTGTATAATAATACAATTATCTACACAGCTGATCAAGAATCCCAACAAAAATGCCCACTTGAAAAAAAACAAGTGCGATTGGTGACTTATCCTTCAGGTACTGTAGAACATCTTATCCAAGAATGGTCGTGAACGTGGAAAACTTTATCACTGTCTTGTACTTGTCCGGGTAAAGCAAACCATGCCAACTTGTATGCCATGGGGGCACCACTACCCTTATGTATGCCGTATCCTTAACCGTAGCTTGTTCCATCATACTAAAGTACTGTATCCAGATATGTAATGTAGGGGGATAACTCCACTTCTTATTTGCAAGTTGCATGCTGGTCCAGACGAAACGGAGATAAATTTGATTCTCAACAACGTTCAAGAGAAGAAAGCGTAAATATATTATAGTTCAACGTTGCAATATTAGTTATCAATTCATAGCAGAATTTTGAGTGATACACATGAGAAGTGAAATATGAAATGTGAATATCGGTTTGGGAATAAACGGATCTGGACACAACTTGATCAAATTGTATTGATATCAATCAATACTTTGTTCCACAATCAAACAACTAAGTGCAGGTGGTGTATACTTACTGCCTTGTTTTTGCCTACAGATTTTCACCAGATAGGTTGTGCTCATACTAATTTTCTAACTACAACTCTCTCGATAGACAGTAGTCAGTACTGAAGGTGGAGACTGCTGAAAATGACATCATTCTTATCCAACCAATATAATCCTGTAACATGATTTTCACTTAATTAACTAAATTTTGATGCCACTGTGCAGAAATATCAAGTTGACATGATCAAAGCGAACAAAAAATGAATTGTACTGCTGTACCTGGTGACTCTCATTATCAGACTATCTGCTGGCCTCGACTCCCTTCATGAGATAGGCCCGATCTCCTTTGTTAGTGTGTTTACAGAGGCATCTTCTGTCGTTTTCAAACCAGCAAAAAGAGCTCAAATATTCTTATGGCTATACAAGCAAAATTATTATAAAGATAATATCTAAACTTTTGTTCAACAGTACTAAATAAACCAAGTTTCCCATATATTCGAAAGCATCTAAAGCTCTAAACAAATAACTGGATCGTATCTTGCCCATACATAATCTTCAAAAACTGCAAAAAGAGAAGTAATCATGGTTTCAGATATTTAGCTATTAATGGGGACCACAACTCAGAGAGGCTTCATGTCTATCTGAACTCCTTGCAAAACAAATTACACCAGCAAACTATTATATATAGACCTATCCTCCATTCATTGCACACTCAAGAACTCAAACAATAAGTGGTCAGAACACTAAAGATATATTGGGGTGGAAATGGAGTCCAACAGGAAGCGCAAAGGGCTCACGAAAGCGAAGCTTGTAATGTCTTTCTATCGAGCAGCCAAGCCTTCTTCAACCACGCAATATAGTGGCAAGGTGAAGCCAAATCCCACTCCTACTTCAACTACCACAGTGGGTTTCATTGTCAACCAAGACCAAGTTACAACTCCTCCACCTAGTTCAGTAGGTTTCGTCTTCAACCAGGACCACGTAATTTCTCAGACAAAGCAGAAGGTTTCATTTGCAATCCCTGGAGACGAGGCTGTTGATGTGAAGGCTGCAAGCTATATCTCCTGCGTTCAAGAGCGCTTTAGGCTTGAACTAGTCAACTCAGAACGCAAGAGGTCTGAAGAGTACACCCACTGATGATAGCTCTCTTGGGCCTACGGTTATATTAATAAGTTCCTGCATTACAGAAAGATATCCTCACCTTGCAGAAAATTAATTAGGGTTTGTTTGTGTTTGAATTGTTTCATGTACTTTACGAGTTAGATCGATCTAGTCCCCATCTTATATATATCATGGTAATGGTGTTACTTTATTTGCGTTGTAATCCAATTAAATATCCAAATGAGTAAGTTGTCGAACCTTGCTACTATTCCATTAACTTACTTGGATCAATTTATATGCACATGATTTGCTTCAGAGGCACTTCCAAGCAACAATGACAAATTAATGAAGAGCCAACGAATTTACTTCAAAAAGCATATTAATTTGGAGTGTTTTATATCCAATGAAATTTTTTACTCAAATGTTCACTGAATTTTAAGTAAAATTTTCAGTTGAAACTGTAAATGGTTTTAGTAGAGAATTTTAGAGATTACAACGGGTATATCCCTTTTTAAATTTTTTTGGGTTTAACGATTAGAGGTATCCGGATCAACTTAGGCGTATCTCGACTAATTTCCTCTCCAGTTCGGTCAAAGGCCCATCTACGCCCAGATGAGAGTATTCATGAGAGAAAAATCTTTTCTGTCCAGACCTTAAAGGGATGCTAAGATTTAAATTTAGGATGTTTAAGTTATAATTTGTTCTTTTTATCACTTGAAGTGCCCTTGAAATTTTTTAATAATCTATCCTGGATGTAGCCAAACTTTACTTATCGGCTAATACTACACACATGTCTCATAAGGTATAACCAGTGAAAAATAAGGGTGGGGCGGCCAATATCAGATGCCAGACTTTCTGAGCATATCCTCTCGTCTCGCTTTATGGGAGGAAAAAGGCGAACGAGAAAACAATCTTATTCCTATCATCTATTTTTCAGAATATTAGGGTTTGGGGAGGTAGGGAAGGTTCCAACGTTCCAGTAGTTACTATTAGTCAACATAGGAAAACATAAATTTGAATGGAAACCTTATGTGTGGGGGGGATTGATAAATTTCAACCATAAGAAAACATAATTGCCATTCAAATTGAAATGTGGCTTACAACACCTTACCATATAGTTTGTATTGTATTTATTCGGAGCCTTTTTAGGATCCTCTGTTTCATGGCCTAGGTCGCAGGTGTCTCCGAGTGCCTTTGCGTCGCTATTTCACGGAATTTCACTTGCTTTGATACATAAAATATATGAAGCTTTACGCTGGTTCAAGCATTTAGGAGTTCTTGTTGGTTAGGCTGCTGAGTTTGACAGCCTTGCTTTGCCGTTATTGTAAAAATAGTTGTACTTGATGTATAGATTCTATGTAAATGCTTAATTTGGAGAGTTAAAATGCAACAGCCAGCAAATTGGATTCTTGGACTTCACATAAGTAGGATACAACATTGCCTTTGAATTAAGAAAATGTATTCCTAAGGAGCAAAAAGGCGGATGATCTTCTTTAGTAGTTGATTGAAACGAACCTCGACAATCGAATCAAAACAGCAAATAAACAAGTAGATGAGGAAATGCAAGGTGGTGGCGATGATGGTAACATTGATTAGCCGGTGGTGATGTGAACACCAATTGCGATGAGGAAGATGGTGATGAGGCCAAAGAAGATGATGGTGTGGACTAAAATGGAGACTCCACTGGTCTGGAAGTTTGCAAACTCGATTGTTCGGCTGTTTCCAGGGAGCTGGAACAGCAACCCTGGCGTCAATAGCACGAACAGTACCACCGCTATGATCACCGGCCCCCAATCTGCCATCACCTCTGTCCTTCCTAGCTAGCTCTCTTCTTTTCCTCCCTCTAAAGTCTAAACTGGACTGAGGAGTCCCAACCAAGTGTAAAGAATGAGACTACAAAAGATACATGACAAGAAGGATGGGAGTCTTGTAGATGAAAACAAGGACGATGGGGACAAAGAAGCGGTCCGAAGTCGGCAATGGATTTCTTGCCGGATTCGTCCTGTTGCTCATGACAGATACCTCTTATGAACTATAAGGGCGGCACGCACACTTGAAAGTTGACATCCTTTATCTTTCTTGGACGGCCGTGTATACTTCCTTTTTTTCCCCGAAAATATTGAGTAGGAATTCTGATGTTATAAAAATGTTATTTGAATTTAATTTATATTAAAATTCACAATTAATACAATAACTATTGATGATGCACAAATCATTGTTGCGCAAAATCAACAGTCAATAATATGTGACGAGTGTAATTAATGAACAATTAACAAGTAATCAATGATAATCAAGAGCTAAAACAGTAAATGAGCAATAAACACAAAAAATTATAGTAGTTCGATCTGAGTGACCTATTCCATTCTCGTGAATGGCTGCGGTGGCTAGAGGTGTTTTATTGATGAACCAAAGTTGCCAGGACAGCTACAATGCTTTGGGAGAGGGGAGTAAGGTGTGTGGAGAGTTGTAATATGTGTAGGGATTCAGAAGCTTGCCCTCAATGTTGAGTGGGCGTACATTATATAGTTAAGGTAAAGTGTACATTAACAAGTAATCAATGATAATCCAAGAGCTAAAACAATAAATGGGCAATAAACACAAAGAATTATAGTGGTTCGGTCCGGATGACCTACTTCATTCTCGAGAATGGCTGCAGTGGCCGAAGTGTTTTATTGATGAACCAAAGTTGCCAGAAGAGTTTACTCACAAAGAGTTACAATGCTTTGGGAGAGGGGAGCAAGGTGTGTGGAGAGGTGTAGTATGTCTAGGGAATCGGAAGCTTGCCCTCAATGTTGAGTGGATATACATTATATAGTTAGGGTAAGACGGTGAGGCGGTGACGTGAGTGAGAAGTTTTTCCACCATTTTAGTAAGTGAGCAATCATGATAAGTTTAGATCTCCATCTCGACATTCTCTCCTTCGTGCTCCTATTCAATTGGAAGAAGACCTTGAGTTGGATTGAGCTTGATCCTTAGCTTGGACGTAGAGCTGGAGTGGACTGAACTTGCATTGGAGTGAAGAAAACGTAGGAAGACTAGGGGGCAGCATTGGGAGGGGGGCGACGCCCCAAGTGCTTTGGGCGTTGGCTCCTTTGGCGTTGGCCTCTTGAACATTGGCCTCTTTAACGCTGGTCTCTTGATGTTTTTTTGGATTTTGTCATGACGGGTAGACCCAATTTCGATTGGGCTCTCTATTGGGCTTTCTTGGTTTATTTAAATTAAACTTGGCCCAGTCAAATTTGGGCTCATCAACTATGTTAAATTTGATCCCCAATTACGTTCATACAACATTATTCCCAGGAATAACTCTAAAGGCCGGTTCTAAAGGCTTAGAGAAAATATGGAAATTAGAGGTGACAATTTTAACCTATTATCTATTAATCCGCCCATAAATAAAAAGGTTGAGTATCTATATTAATTAATATAAATTTTAAATGAATTGGGTAATATGATTTATTTTAATTAAACGGGTTAATGTGGATTACAAATGGGTACCCATTGAGTTGAGTATTTATTTTTTTATTAAATAGTACAAGTAATAAAATTAAATAAATATATTAATATACCACAAAATACACACACTATTACACCAAAAAATACACACATATACACTAAAATATACATACACTAGTACACCAAAAAATAGACACATATATACTAATACACTAAAATATACATACACTAAAATATACATACACTAGTACACCAAAAACACACACTAATACACCTCCCATGATTCATGGGTCAACCCACAACTAACTCATAGCCCACAATTGACTCCGACCCATTATGTGTGTATTTTTTTTATTAAATTTATTTTAGTTTTTGTATTAGTATATATGTGTGTATTTTTGGTATATTAATGTGTATTTTAGTGTATTAGTGTGTTTATTTTTAATGTATTAGTTTGTGTTTATTTTGGTATATTTGTATGTGTGTGTTTTGATATACTAATATGTCTATTAAAAATTTTAATTATTTTATGGGTTAATCAGTTTAACCCAACCCGTTATAAACTCAACCCATTATAACTCATTCACTATATGAGTAAAAAATAGATTAAATTTATTTTAATCCAATTCAATTTAACTCAACCCATAACCAATTCTACTCACTCATTTTAGACCTCTAATTAAAACATTAGAACCTAAGAAAAGGCAACTTGGACGGTTCTTGGGATGTCACCAACCGTACCATATTTTGATAGAAGACATTATTACTATTAGCACACTAAATCTTTGAATCAAGGTTGGGGATTGGGGCACCACATCAACCTGGTTCAAAATGGGCAATCTTATTGAATCTTAAAAACAGACTACGAACAAAAATATAGTTATTCCCCTTTTTAAGAAATGGAGTTACGAGTCTACAAAATCTATGACTGAACTTTTTCCATGACCGGAAGGTATTGTGCTGATAGAGCTCCAACTTCTCAATGGACGGATTAGACACGTATCTTGGACCAATTAAAATGTGTTTTTGGCTGAGCAAGAGTTTGATTGACTCAAAATTTTAATGTCTCGGTTGATTTCCCTTCCTTTAGCTATTCAAATGTTAGAGTTTGCTAGGTTTGAAAGGTATTAGACTAGCCACAGAGCTTGGATACGGCTTTTCGATCGGAGATAATGGATCCCAGACGGTATCTCCTTGACATTTCCCCTTTGAAATCGTCCTTCCTTCCCAATGTTTGGGCCCGGGAAACAACTTTCTTTGCCTAACCTGGGCCGACTATGAGATTTTTTGTCCAAAATTGCTGCCCAACTGATAGGCCTGTGTAGCCTTTCCAGCCCAATTTACCTTTAGATTGGAAAACAACTTAATACATAAAACCCATAAACTAAATGGTCCAAGGCAAGCTGATCTCAGTCTTAAACATTCCAATTCACAATTCATCTCTGCAATTTGTCACACGGTGGCAAGGGCAATTCAACCTTTGTTTTTTGTTTCACTTTTACTAGACATTAAACATTTTCCCGTCAAGCATCAACACAGTCTGACCGGCATTAATGAATCAAATCTCGTATTTGAGATTGAGATCCCCTCATTTACTTTTTTATATAATTTTACTTACTGGTAAATTACCTATTATCTATATAATAAAGTATCTTACAATTCAAATCTTAAAAGATAAACAAAATGATTTTTACTATGCGCGGTTGATATTATTTTAAATTTTACTTTAAAATTAATATAACGACTATTATTAACACTCTAAATTTAATAAATAAAAAAATCCCCTAAAAGTGCCTTTGAAATGATTTTTTAAAAGTATTTTTAAAAATTATTTCTCATAAATATTTTTAAAAAAATAGTATTTAAAATCGTTCTACTACTACTTCTATTACCCCCACCACAACCGTCATTGTCACTAACACCATTCTCATCGCCATCACCGTCGCCACCGCCACCATTATTGTCGTCGCCACCATCACCGCCACCACTCCCACCTGGGCCACCCCCACCGCTCCTACCACCACCACCACCCCCCATCATCGTCGCCGCCACCACCACTGTCTTCACCAATACCACGCCCACCACCAACACCTTCACCATTGCCACCACCACTGCCATTGTTGCCACAATCACCATCATTGCCGCCGCCTTGGCCACGATCATTGTCACCCACCACAACTATCACCGTCTCCTACCACCACCACTACCACTGTCGCCCACCACTTCTCACCCCCACTACAAATCAATGCTTAAATTTTTTTATCTCTTCTCTATATTTGTGATTTAATTTTTGATATGAGTATAAATATGATTGTTGTTTACCATTTTTATTACACTCTGCCTTCAGACACAGACAATAACTAATATATTTATATGAGATCTATTATTTATATGTAGATCTCTTACTCATACACGATTGATGATTTATCATTGAGTGAAAGTGTAGTAGAGAAAATTTATATCTTGTAATTTGAAAGATAGAGATTTATTCAGCATACCGTGGCAAATGTGAGTCGAGTTATCATGTGTCTTTGGAAAGGCTATGAGCCTGTTTGATTTACGTTTCAAAAATTAGTATCTGAAAATAATTTTTGAGAAGAATTTTAAGAAAGTGGTTTTGATATTTTTTGAGATAAAAAATTTGTTTGGTTAGATGATTTCAAAAATAATTTTATAATACAGAAAATAGTAAAACCTGTTTGGACAGTCTAAATATATATTTGAATAGTAATTCAAACATTAATAAAAAAAAATAAAAAAAAAAGAAGTAATGAAGAAATTTGTTGCTAAGGAGACTCGAAGGGCAGACCTCATTAAAGTCCAAAATTGTTCTTTTTGTTTTCAAAATTTTCAAAGAATACTCTGAAAACAAGCTAGACTTGTTTTCTGTTCTTTGACTCAAATCTCATTTTTTCTCAAAATTTTGAGAACAAATATGTTTTGGGTTTTTTGAAAATTTTGAAAATAAAAAACAGTTTCAGGAAAGTTAATCAAACATGGCCATATTTTTTCTGTTTTTTTCTTTCTCATTTTTCCTAGTTGATCATCGAAGACTAGTTCTTAAAAATTTGTAAAATCTTCGAAATCTGCTGCAAACCCATAGAAGAAGGAATAACAGGACGTGTATAATAGATGAAATAAATAGAATATTGCTTTTTGATTATTTCAATATATTTTTCTTAATTTTTTTTCAATAATACTTTTTTCTCTTCTGTGAACTGCACCACCCCGTGCTTGAGTAGGGCATATAGGTCTTCCTTAAAAGGTGAAGCATTATACAAGTAAGAATTTCTAACTCAACTAGCTTTAACACGCCAACCTTTATACCTGTCCCAATGCTTTTTCCATATCTCTTCAATTATGTTTTCCAAATACCTGTCTCAAGTGGAAAGAACCCCATCAAGCCATAAATTATTGGAAGCTAATGTTGATCCTTTAATTTCGACCTCCATAAAGCAAAACCCACTACCACAACATACCTTTCCCCTCTTTTAAACCTACTGTCTTCTTTCTCTCTACGTTTAGCATCCCCCATCGCCTTCTTCATTAAGTAAATCAGTGCTTCTCACCTCTCTACAAATTCATAAACACCATTTCTGTTCTTTCTCACCCATACTTGAAGAGAGAGACCAAGTTCCATCCTACACTTGAGAGAGAGAGAGAGAGAGAGAATGGGTGCCGATTGGGGACCGGTTGTGGTGGCGGTGGTGATGTTCGTCCTACTGTCACCGGGACTGCTATTCCAGCTACCGGCGAGGGCAAGGGTGATTGAATTCGGCAACATGTATACCAGTGGCATTTCCATTCTAGTTCATGCCATATTGTACGTCTGTATATACACCATTTTGATCATTGCAATTGGTGTGCACATACGGACTGGTTGATACAACCATATGGATCCAACTGATCTTCTCATATGTAGCAAGGGATTACCAGTATCTTTATTCCACTCTTCATGGGCTTCCTGTCCTATCTTCTCTCTTTCTTTTTTTTTTTTCAAAATTTCTTTATTTGGATTGTTACTGAACAGTGTATGGTTGCTTCTTTGATTTACATGAAATAGACGCATGCTCTTGATATGAACTGCGTTGGAGCCTTTGATTGATCTTTTCAATTGATAACTTATTTGTTAGTCTGAACTTAGAATTGATCCATAACTCTTCCCAATTATTACTACCATGATTTGCAGAATGTATGACTAACTTGAATACGAAATATAATAATTTTTAGATATTTTAATTGAATCAATTAAGGGCGGACTTTGACGTAATTTAAGGTTGTTTCGTTATGACGTGAACGTTATAGTTCAAATTGCAAAAAAAAAATCTCTCTACTTATAAGAGTAAAACTGTATAAATCTAACACTCCTTAAACTCCACAATGGTGCAACATCATGCACCAGTTAAGCCAGTTTTTTTTAATTGATCAACTATATTTCTTACCAAAAAAAAAAACTTGCCGAGACCGGATAATTTCCTCAACTCCATGTTGTTATTTGGAGTATTCAAATTTTTGATTAATCCTAATTTTTCATCCTACTCGATCTTATTGAACGGCTAGCCGAAAAAATTTGGTAAAAATATAAAAGAGTTTTTAGTTTTCCAATTAAATGGGATAACAATGTGAAATAGCCATTAATTTTTATATTCTTAGCTTACCTTAGCCGCATTAATTTATATATATATAAACCTTAATTTCCTAACTATATAGTTTAAATTTAAAATAATTATTATTGTATTTGTGTAATAATTATGATAGATTGAAGTTTATGTTTTCTTATGTTTTATTGTAATAGTTGTTACAATTATTTTAGTATTATTAATTTATTATGTTATTAAATTAATACACGTTATTTAATTGAATTGTTAAATAATTCAAAAATTAATAACTACAAAAATATATAACTGATTTTTTACCTCACTTCCGACCCAATTAATTTGGCCAGAAGTCCGATAAAAATATCACAGTAAGGATAAATTAGGAAAAAATTGTTCCGCAATATTTCATACCCAACGGGTAGGTTCAACACCCCTGGGTTGCCATTGCAGTCCCAACTCAATAGGAAATTTTTTGTAACCAAAACATGAAAAAAGTCGATGTTTGATCAAAACAAACTCAGAGAAAACAAGTTGAAGGTGTTGGGGGCTTCAAGCTTGAGAAAAAAGGCAGATTCCCACTGGATCCAGTTAAGGAACTAAGGGTCTGGAACCCTAGATCATCAATCGCGTCACACATAGACATAGGGATAATCAAAGACCAAAAAAAGCTACATTACAAGGACAAAGATTAGATCTATGATATAGATTAGAAGTTGTCATTAAACAGAGCAAGTATCATTTAATTTAGAGCAACAAACTTAATATCTGAAGAAACCGAAATAAACACAGATCTCGAGAGGGGAGGATGAAACTAACCCAACAGAGGGCGGTAGAAAGGTAAGCAGAGAAGACATACACTTGGTTCAAGTTCAGCCGGTGTAGATGTGAACATGGACGGCAAGGATGAGGATAGCGTAGATGACGAAGAAGATGAGAGTGTGGACTGCGATGGACTTGCCGTTGGTCTTCATGCTCCCGAAATCCAGGTTTTTGTTGTGTCCCGGGAACTGAAAGAGCAGTCCCGGTTGCAAGAGCACGAATAGTACTACTCCGATCAGTACTGGCCCCCAGTCCGCCATTGTTGCGCCTCTTCTGTTCGTGTCACAAATTCAGCAAGCTGTCTGAGAGAGAGAGAGAGTTCTTTGCAGTAACAAGTCGCTTGTGTGGACAACGCTACGATTGAGCGGGTGGTGACTAGAGGAACCTCCCCTAGATAGTGATACTTTTGCTATCTGGCAAGCGGGAACAATTTGCAAACAGAATATTGTCTAATGAGCACCTTTTGACCAAATTATAAACGTTTAAATAATAAATGACTAAACCAATAGATATCAAGATTAATGGTTAATTTAATCATCACTATTTTTTTAATATCTTATAATAGTATTTGAGGAAAAACAAAAAACAAAGGGCCCCTCAAAATAGATTGTACCAATTTACGTGTTTTATTGATAATTATGTGTATTCAAAATTTATATTTTAATCATAATTTTAAAAAGTGTGTGACTGCTATGATTTTTTATTATTAGAAGAAAAAAAATATAACGGTAAACAAATAATTAAAGTTTTGGGTAAAGCACAGACACGGTTCATTGTCGCCCATGCCCACGATCAAGTTGTTTGTCTTCCAACATTGATTTCAACCGTTCAAATCTCAGTCTGATAGTTTATGTTAAAACAAAAAAAAATTAGTGTCTGTTAATCAAACTAGATTATTCGAGTTTGGATCAGGTTCGATTTGTTTCTTAAACAAGTCCGAACTTGTATAAGTTTTTAAACTCGTTTAGAAAATAAACCTTATAAGATTGACTCAAACTCAACAAGTTTAACTCGGACTCGGCTTGAGTTCAACTTGTTTTAAGTTCGTTCAAGGTTAACTTGTTTCGTAAACGAGCAAGTTATTTATTTAATTTAATTTATTGCCCTTGTTGAAGTAATATTATTTGAATATAATTTATTTATTTATTTTAATTCAAATATAACAATTTTTTAGATTAAATTAAGAAACAAATTTTTTAAATTTGATTCGAGCTAGTTCGACTAACAAACCTAACCATGGTCCAAAGGTGGAGTTAGCTCGTGTCATATTAATTCCATTCGGACAACCAGTTAAAGACAATTTCATTCTAATGAAAAAAGAGCGGATGTCATTCATTAATATCTTAACACATTGATGTCAGTTGTGCAATAGTCTAGTCTAGTCTAGTCATATGAAGTGTAATTTAATCATAGTACGTTATCTACACAAAATTGATTGTTGTGTGCCCTTTAGCCGTTTGATCATAACGGGATATACACACATACCCAGTCCAATGGATTACAAAGATAAACAACTCGTGGCGTGACTTTATAGTCCCGTGGTTGAAAATATAATTATGAGTATTGGATCAGATGAGACTGGAGAAGGGAAATGACAAAATTAATGAACATCATCATAATCAGAGGAAGTTTCCATTATATTCAATGCAATCTTATCTAAACCACTTGATATTGACATCAAACAACCAACTTCCAGTCTTGGGGGATTATGAACCATCCGTCCGGCTTAAACCTATTTGCTTTACCTTCCACCTTTATCTAATGTTTATCCTATTTTGACAACTGAAAAACAAGAAAATTCGATTCTTTTTGAACGGATCACGTAAGGTTAGCGAAGTGATAAACTTCGTAGTAATTTTTATTTCTTTGAATAAATTGTGTTAAATAAAAAAATGATATTATTTGTAATTAAAAAATCTAATTTAATGAAGTAATAGTTGGTATGGCCCGATAAATATTGTTTTAATTCTAACTCTTAGATTTCTCTATAATTAGGATATAACTTAACACACTATTAAGTAAATAAAAATAAGTCAAATTTTTAATTATAAACAATTTTTCCCCTAAAACAAATGGGGATGGAAATGGAACATTTTGAGCCACCCCACTTGGAGTTGTCTGATACCCCCGATGAATTACTAAAGCCATAATTAGAGGCAGTTAATCGAGTTGAGTTTTGAAAGTTTAAATTCGAGTTTGTCAAGTTCCTTTTTTTAAACGAGTCTAATAAAATGTTCAAGTTCGACTTATTTACAAAATGAACCGAGTTCGAGTCCAAGCCACGTTTTGCGGGTTTGAGCTGAACAATTTAAGTTTATTTTCTTAAATAAATTTAAAAAATTGTTCAAACTCAACTCATTTAGAATATAAATCGAATTCGAATCGAATCTTATCTGAACCAAACTTCAATGACTCGTCTCAATTAACACTCTTACTCTAACCACCCGCCGCTAGCGAGTTTGTCCGGCTGTCATCCAAAAGAAAATGATGCCTTGCCTTAACCCAACAAAGAATATAAGAAATAGAACAAAGGCAAAAGTGGTTGATTAATTTTCAATATACTACGGATGGAAGGTAATTTTTATTATTCTAACTTTGTTGATGCTTGCAACCCCCCCCC